CCACTGCTCTAATGTCCAATCCCTATGCTCTCGAGCAAATTCAAGTCGTGCTCGACGGTGTGCTACCGTTAATGCTGGGCCTGTTGCAGCTCTTTTTGGGGTCAGGTTCCGTTCAGCAAGTCTCCTTCTGACGGTATCTGAACTTATGACCACTTGGCGTTCGTCACGCAGAATTTGTTGGACTTGAACTGCGTTGAGGTGGCGATTTCGCAGAACAGTAAGGTGGATATAACGATCATCTGCTGCTGATGTAGCCCTAGGTCTGCCCGTCTAGTCTCTAGGTATCGTCTGTAAACTCGTTGCACCGAAGATCTGCTGATTCGAAGCCTTCGAGCGACTTCACGTTGCGCAATGCCTGCTTGAAGTAATGCTACAGCTTGAGCTGCTTCCTGAGGTGTTGTATCCATTATTAATCGAAAAAAGTAGAAAAAACACACGCGTCTGAGCAAACGATGGACAAAAACTAAAGAAACGATAAGAAATATCCGACTACCCTCATTGTAGAGAAAAAGAACGCTAATTTCAAACTCTGGTGAAAACAGAGCAAATCGTTAGCATTGTGTTTGTTGCTTGATTACAATGTGAGTTGACGGTACTTTCGAATTAATTTTTAGTCATTTTAATCACCATGACACGCACTTTTTGTAGGTATAACTTTGATAGTTGTAAGTTTTACACTTTTTGAGAAAATCGAATCAGAGTTCCTAGGTAGCGGGTGGCTCGGTTTATTTGCTGACCAGTGTATATTCTTAATTACCTAACACCACGGTTTATAGTATGATTCGAAACGGCAGCCAGCCTTGATTGCATACACGGCATTTAACGCTTGCTTTTATTCTTAGAATTGTTAATTATTTGATTAATAATTAAAGTAAAAAAATTGACCTAATTTATTATTAGATATATGTAAGCGTTCTGTATATGGCAGTGTTAAAAAACCTAAGAAGACATATTAATAACATGTTTAGTTTTGATTGATAAAGCACGATAAAAGTGCGTCTGTATGGATGCGTCATGTTATGTTCAATACTGGTGTTTTCCACATGGCCTCGCTCTTGCAAACGTTTCTAATTGCGCAATTCACAAATTTACCTTACCACCTACCTACGAGGCAAACTGTTCTCGTCTGCGATCACAAATTATATTACACAAATACTTTCTTTATCAAAGTAAACAGTTACAACTATTTAAAAAAAATTGGCGAAGCGCCAAAATGAGCACGCTTTCTATACTATTTTATTGCCAAAGATACCTAATATGAAGGTGTATGTTGTTGCCAGATTTTATTAACGCTGGTTGTAGGATAAAGCAATATTGCTAAACCAATATAATTCACTAAAAATGTTTCGCAAGATGGCGGTCTATAGATTGCGTAACACGTTTAGAATATAAGATAGGTCATGTCACTCAGTCGAAATCTGTTTTGTATTTGTAACTAACGCTAACTAGAGCTAATAAAGACCGTTGATTGTATATAATTAATTTTGAGTAGGAATTGTTCTTTGTACACATTTATATTATTATGATAAGGCAAGAGAAGTAACAAGTGGTGCATCGGGGATGTGGTCGGGGGTACGATCGATAGGGGCTGGTGGGCGTTTGCCGGGGCGCTCGGCGGGGAGGCCGCCTCCCACGTCAGCTGGAGCCCGGCCAGGCTGCGAGTCCTGACATAAATAGCACCAGCTGCGATACCTATCTATAACTATACAATAACAGTACGACGTGTGTGTTTACATCATTCAATGTGGAGCCTTTGGATCAAGTATTTAATTTTGAAATAATCCTTCAACGACTGTCTGTGTATTTTTATTCGTCTTATACAAACTAATCTGAAAGGTGATTTGTGAAGCTTTGCAGAATTAGTATGAATTATATTGCATATGTTTATACCTAATATAATAATTAGTGTCTATCAAAGTACTATAAATGTACTATCGAGAGTGAGATAGTTAGGTACGTTTCAGTATGAACTTCTATTTTAAATTCTGGATTTCAAAATCTGCTAGACCGTTTTAAGTCAGTACAAGGCAGGCTAATAAAAGCGTGTTGAACTTAGGTTCAAGATGTAATTTTTCATTGTTTTTTTCAGAAAGGTCAAACCTACTATATTCGTAAGTCCATACTTTGTAATAAGGCGTTATACTTGTATATTAAGATTATCTAAAAAAGTACAAACAGTTGATATAATTAACATAAAATAAACACAACATGTTACACTTTGTGATTTTTATTACCTTGTTGTAATAATTCAGTAGTAAGTAATTCGAATATTGTTAATGAAACTTATGATTTAATTACGTAAGAATAAACGGTATCCTTATTCAATTGCAAATTACTGTAAGAAACGTTAGGGAAGTAAGCGTGAAGCATTTATTAACAAAGCAACATAAACAGGTGAGGCGTATTCTGAGTAATAACAAAAACTATTAATAATAAGGCGGATGTGACGTCTGTGTTTTTATGCAATAACCTCACACGGCAATATATTTATTTTTGCACTAGTATTATGTATTATCTAACAAAACAATCCTTGAAAAGCCACCGAAACAAGTTATTTTTAACACGTTGGCATTTCATTTTTACTGGGTTTGTTGCAAGTTTCGTATATTCGCTGGTAATTTTTTAATTCGAATATGCAAAACCACAAAACATGTAGATAATAAATAAGATAATATAATCTGTTCAAATTTTGTGAAATACATTCTGTCATTTATGTCAAAGTAAAAGTGAGTAACTACATCATTCATCTTGCGTAAGACATAATGCAGTTCCCGTCGTCCGGATAATACTTATTCAGTTTTGGACCACTACTTTATGGCTAACTAGCTGAGACCCGCGGTGTTACCCGCGTTTGTTGTTATAACCGCGGCCAACGCCGCGGGGCGAAGCTAGTCTAAAAAAAGTAGCCTAAGTTACTCCTTATGTCATCAGCTATCTGCCAGTGAAAGTCCCGTCGAAATCGGTCCAGCCGTTCCAGAGATCACCCGGAACAAACAGACAGACAGACACAAATAGTAAAAAATGTTATTTTGGCATATTTACCGTGTAAACATACAAATGCATTTACTATAATTTTACTATTACTATGTCTTTTTTAATCTTTCTTAAAGTATATTTTTTAAACTTATGGATGTAATTTAAACAATTCATTATTTATTACTTGCGTACTACATGATATAATTAAATTATTTTGTATGAGTAATGCTCGACATTTAAGCCTCTGACGTAATTTACACAGAACAGCTCGTGTTGTGTATGTGTGAAAGCCATTCCTTGAATTACTGTTTGTTATACTAACACTGATTAAGATCAACCACTTCGATGAATTGAACGTTAAGTTTGAGGAATATGATCGAATCTTCTTTAATTTCAACGAACTATTTTATTTAATCGAAATGACAATGAATGATGCCTTATTTTGACATATCATTTTAATAATTAGCACCTTTCGGATCAAGTAAATAAAGTCTAATATTGATCGCGCGCCTTCACGTTACTAATACATATGTGATAGTCATCGATCGGTAGTTCTGAGGGCATGGTATAGTTCTCATTGTCATTAATTCGTTTACAGTGAAGTCACACCAAACGCGAGCGTTTTCTCTACTAAAGTAGAAAAAGTAAATAGATATGTGACGGCCGTCCGAAATTCTGAAACGGGTTTGTGAATCTAAAATTCTTTGAAAATCACTATTTTAAAATCAACATAGATTACACAAAGATGTTATTCTAACGCGAATTGACAATTCGACATTTTTGGAGGATATGGTATTTATCCTTAATAACCACTTTCGTAACCTAACCATCGACGACTTGAAATAATGAACCCAAAAAAAACGGAATGGCATTATTGTATAATAACGTTGCACTAAAAGAAATGATGTAAACCGATCTACGTCAAACAACTGAGGCAGTGCGTCACAGGTTGACGTTAGTTTACCCGCAATACTTGCACAAAATAGGGAAGAATAAAAAAAAAAACTCCACGTCCGCGCCCAAAATGTCATTGAAGATTGATGAGTAGGTACAGAAAGTTTAGAAGTAAGTTTTATACATTTTTTCATATATTATATAAAATACAACTAAGTAGAAAAAAAACAGTAAAAGGCCCGTTCGCCTGAAATACATATGATGCACTGTATCAACTTACATTCAGAACATCAGCAAAACGTTCTACAAACAGGAGTCGTTTCGAATATCACAGCTGACACCTTAATTTCAGTTAATATTATAGAAAGGGGATTCCCCGAGAATTTATACCTCATTCCAAACATTGTTCCACTAACTATTGGCTAATCATAGTAACTAATCAAAACAGAATAAAGGAAAGGTATTTCTGAGATTAGCTTATTAGTTTGTAATACACCATATTATTGTTGGCTGGTAACATTACAATGGCAGATAAACCGAGGGACCTGTTTTGACACCAGGGCCTTCCTTTCTAGGGTATACCTGGTTCCCCGGCTATTAGTACCCGGCGAAGGCGTGCGGTTTTAGTCGGTTCGAGTCCGACATGCCACCGACAGGTGGTATCCGAGGGGATTTCCGCACGGAAAAAAAAAAAAAAAAAAAAAAGGGACCTGTTTTGAATACATGTTTCGAGCACTACATACTTTTTGTAAAGAAGAACTTTTTTGCATTACTTCGCTACATAGCGTTTGGAACTTCGTCACTGAATATCAAATAATTTAAGGTTTTCTAGTTTTGGCTACGACTGGTTCTCTCAAAGCGATCGAAACGAAACGAGATCTAAGAAGATGTTGAATTCAACCAATGTTATTGGCCTATGATAATCGTGCACTGTGAGTCCCGATTAATACCACGAAGCCATTTTTTTGTAATTAATTTAGTGTCATGATGACAGTATAATACTACAATTTATTTTTATTTTTAATTGCTGTAAATGGCCTTTTGTGTTATATTTTCAAATAAATTTGCCTTTTCATGTTATCTTTGGAAGATATCCACAAAGGACACATAAGTTTAGTGAGTATTGAGACATGGTTCGTTATGTGGTAGAGTAAGTACCGACAATGAAATGTCTCGCAGTGTTTAAAAAAACTTCTCATTGTTAGCAGTGCGGCACATCACGCTGCGCTCATGTTTTCCTGTGTCGCTTACAATGCCACAAACAACTGTCGGACATTACTTCTATATGTGCGACACGATAGAATCAACATTGCGTGCTTATCGAGCCCGCTACATCATAAATTACACACATTCGCAATTATTGTATACTCGAAAAACCGCGCTGATTGATATCTGTCATAAATGTACTTTAAACTGCACAATGATCAGGTAATCCCGGGAAAGTTGCAATATTTCAATCCAATTATTGTCTTTAATAACATAGTTTATAAAAATATTGTCTCATAGTTCTGTGTATGATTGGTTAATTTATATTAAATCCGGATAATCACGTTTCAAGCACTCGGCAGATGAGCCTGCCCTAGTCTCATAAAACAACACTCTCTCATTCTCATTTTTCAATTAAAGCTGCTACTAATTTTCTAATTATTCATCGAATTTTGTGTAATCAGCTTAGGTGCACTAGAAAACACTTTCTTCTATGCTATTTTAATGATACTGTCCATGTACCTGTGTGCAACAAATACTCAATTTTTTTATCTATATTTCATAACAAGAATTAATAAAATTCTGTATCGATGTATTAACTTCATATTCATATTCGTTTGTCTATGGTATATGTCTTAAACAAGATATTGTATTTAAAACATTTAATCATATATAAGTAACCTTTATTATCCTATATAATAAATTGTTAACACCTCAACCGTGTGGTGACGGATTAAGAATACAGTGTGTCACCACCCCTATTCATCCCGTGGGTGTCGTAAAAAGCGACTAAGGGAGCAAACCACGCAGGACAACACTGCAGAGAGAAGGAAAACTTGGCACAAACACTATACCAACCCGTCTGGCCAGAGTGGTATAGTAGGCCAAAACCTCCTTTCTAAGGAGAGGCCTACGTCCAGCAGTGGACTAGTAAAGGCTGTTGATGATGATGACGTCAACCGGGTTTGTAAGCTGGGGTGGCCTGGTGGTCTTCTCCTGTCCAGCTGGCCCATGAGCCATGGTTAAAAATGTAACGAAATGATAAAAAACAGGGGTTTAAGGGTAAACTGTAATTGTGTTAGCTTATAAGGATCGAACTATATCTGTAATTAATAAACTAATTGTACTTTTATTGCACTGAGGGCAAATAATGATAAAAATATACACACATTGAACATCTATTGAATTTGTTTTGTTGTTACTTTACTAAAAAAAATATTCTGTGTAACGTGTTTTATGAGTTCTAAATAATATCATGTGGGAGATTGTTCGTCTTTATGAAATTAAAATCGGCTGCCAGGCATTGAAACAATCTTAAAGCGAGCGAAGACGCGGGTATAAACAAGTAAATTTCTCTGCATTAAGACATAACAAATGATTTTACTGGCCTCAACATAGAAAGCCAACTTGAAGAAATGTCATAATCTATCTAATTGACATAGTTCGTTAAGTCCGGGTTTTGTGTAGTGTCAGCTTACTATCAAATACAGCTTACGATCGCCGATTAATTTACACAGAATGCAATTAAAAAATGAGTTTTTTCTTGATAATGAGACTAATTACTATTTGCTGCATTTGCTATTTTTTAAAGCAATTTGAGAACTCTGTTTATCACAATTTTTTTAGGCAGTAGCGATGAACTGCTACTAAAAGTTTTATGATATTTTTGTAAATTCCAATCGAATTGTCGGTCAAGCTCTGTCAGCTTCAATAAACCGCGCGTCGTAAATCTTGTGGTAAATCAGGAATGCTTAGTTTTATATTAATGTATTTTGTAGGAAGCACTGTTGGCGCTCGGTAGTATGATTGCCGCCATGGTATGAGAGTGCGTGGAACTCGGACGTCTCTTTCTGCGATCAAGTTATGCTTGCGAAGGAGATGGCGGAGCGAGACCGCGAGAGGTTTAGAACTCTCCTGGCCCGACAGGCCCGGGAACAGGCCAGGTACCGCAAACGACTCGGACCTCGAAGGTCGCAGAACGACCTCCGTCCTCCATAAGCGCAGGCCTGGGGGTGACAGGTGAGGCCATCTGACACCCTAACACAAGCAGGCAGGAGTGGCGGCGAAACGCGCTGCCGAGCTCGCGCAACCTTTTGGGAACACAAACAGAACATTCCCACACAGGAGGGGGTCATCTACACGTCGTAAATGGCCTGAGGTACGTCGGGGTACCAGGGATTTCCTTTCTAGGGTACACCTGGTTCCCCGGCTACTGGTACTCAAGACGGCGTGCGTTTTTTGGTCGGTTCGAGTCCGACATAATCACCCCACCGGTGGGTGATATCCGAGGGGATTTCCGCACAGGAAAAAAACAAAAAATAAAAGGAAGCAATGTTGGCACTACTTCTGTATAACAGGAGACAATGAAATTAAATGATGTCTGATGTCCGACCAAACATTTATACATTTCATATTAAATTCATATTTCATGCGTGAGCTAGTCTTACTATTAGAGTATGTAACTACATTTCTAGAAATACTGTTATAAATGTACCGTGCTGGAATTTTATTATAATAATATAATATATACGACCTCGAATGGCTCCTGTGAGGAGTTCGTAATTGTTTTGGATATCTTAATATGACACTCTGTAAAGTTCTAAAATGGTGTCGGAGTCGATTTTTCGCTGGCGCGGTGGCGGCTCATAAAATGTTTGAATACGACGACACGACGTTAATACTTGTTGATGCTGAATTTTTCTACGCTGATTCATTTGAAAATGAACGCTTAGCAGCAATATTCGATTGGCTTTTATTGTTAACCTATATAACATTTTGGTTGCCCAATAACAACTATTTTTGAAATAAACATATTTATACTGCATGTGTTCTCAGTATGCCGATAACTAATAGATATAAATATCGGCGTACAGAGAGACTTGTCGATACTCGTAATCAAGTTCGCTATGGTGGGATGACCTCTATTTTATTACAGCTACTACTTACTATATATGTACTTAAAATTGTTTTACAATCTATAACACTAGCTTGTGAGTAGCAATTGCAATCAACAATAGCTTTACATCACATTTATTACTTGAAGCAATAAAGGTTCCTCTGCAGTGACACTTCCAAAGAATAAATAAGATGCGATAGTTATTGTCCACAGTGGAGATGAATCATATATGTAGGTCAGTGTAATGCATCCGTTCCAACACCGAGATTGTGTAAACGAATACAACATAATGAAATAAGGACGTAAACTATATACAAATAGCACTGACACAGCTACAGAGTTATCATACTTGAGTGGTACAATGTAACAGTTGCAAATAACCAGAAAGTCTTAAACGGAGGCGACTTTTAAGTTGTAAATTGCATAAATTGGCAAATCAAATTGTTACTGTTGCCTTACAAGTAACCAAAATTAAGCTTGTTAAAATTGTTGTAAGGTCACTTCGCTACTTCAATTTTATTAATATGAAATAGGAATAGGAAGTTTTATCATTTTCCTACTAAAGTATTACTATTTACCATGTTTTTTTATGCGGTTTTTCAAAATGTAGTGGAAAATAATAACATAAGTTTAACTAAAGGTTTACTTCAAGGAATCCGTTCTCGAAGTAAACCTTCAGTTAACTTAGGTACTAATTTGTGCCAAAGTTAAATTTCGGCATGTTTTTATTCAATATATATTAGTTATTCAAACTATTTCTTTTGTACTACGGCAAAACGAACTTAATCCTACGGCACAAATGCAATGTGTACCTACAATTAATCATTAAGTATTTATTTAGATGAGGCTGATGAGTTTGCGACGTGATATAGGCGTCAGACTTCGTTGTAACTTTTATTAGCCTTGTTCGGTGAACGAACGATCGTTTATTAGTATTCACTGGTTGTCGCCAGTTGCTATCCCACGTTATAAACGATAATTAAATTCAAACATATCTTGCACTTTCTTGATTTCATACAACATAATGTATATGCATAGGTCCTACTTTTAATTTGTTTCTCAGAAGTTATAAATACGTTCAACTAATTATGTTTCAAATGGTAATACCGTTGCCAACAGTTCTAGGACAGTTTATGTCCGTGTCAAAACACATGCCTACACTGATGAGCGAAACAGCTGAGACTAGTGGCTGGTCGCGTGGCCTCGCTCTATCAACGTTCAACTAAATATCAGCTTGTTGGCTGAGTTCATCGCTTAAACTATCCACGTTGTGTATCTACATTAAGATATTATAGACTGGGCTATTGAAGCTCCACGGGCTGCCGATCAAACGTTCGCTCACTACAATTGAGGGGCCACGCCGATTGGAGATCGCTTCTGGAGCGTATGAGGCGCACAATCTAATAGAATTCTGCGAACGTGAATGCAATAAGAACATAAAAACAGATGATCAGATGTCACTTTATTAAACTGAGCTGACGGCATCTATCACTTCACTTTTGTCAGTATTAGTTATTGACACTTATTTGGAGAGATTAAAATAAAACAATGTCGCTAAATTTTCATTTTGGTTATCACATATACTGTACTGTCCATCAATTCGGGTTGACACGCCAATATGGCGCAGCGCCCGGCCCTGGTGTCTTAAAAATCTTTGTCTTCGTCTACTTTTCTTTTTAGGACAATGGCGTTATTTAAAACTTTGTGCACAATCATCATATTATCAGTGTCCGAATATACAGTTGAACACATATTTCAGTTACCTATCTGTGAAAAATAAAGTAATTAAGAGATTGATAGCGAAGGCCGTGAGTTCCGCGTTGTGTCGTAAGCGCGTCGACCGCACTACACCGCCGCCGGCGCAGGCCGCTCACCTCGCCGTCTGCGGGTCACGGCGTACCTTCGATTCCTTTCTAAAGTGCTTTCTATATCTTACACACTTGCGTTGCTTCTGAGCTTCGTTTTACCTCCACGCTTTTCCACCATTCTCATCTTTCCACGAGCTTATCAGATTGCAACGCAAAATGTTTATGTACTAGAAGTGCTATAGGCGGATGCAGTCTTACTCTTTGGTCACATCGCGGTCCAGTTATCTACTAATGTGTGTGGTGCGCATGCATTCTGCATCAGCATTCCGATAGTACTGCGTCATCCTCGATTGTGCTCCGATGCGTTAGGTATTTGGGATTTAAGCTGACTGAACATTGCATTGAACTCCTTTGTTCTAGATGCAGTTTTGTAATACTTCGAAACGGTTGTAACGATCGTAGCATCGCATTTTGCAAGATGATACATCAGCTAACGAAAGAATACCCATCATTATTTAAACGAAATCGAAAGTATACATTGTTGCACAATTCCATTGTCCTCACCGTAGTCGAGAATTATCAATGTTATTCATTTACAATTCTTAAATTCAACCGCTGGGGTACTTTAATTAAAGTCTATAGCGATATAAATCCTACGGCACGTCGGCGGCAGTTAGAAAGTACGCGTGATGTAACATTGCAGCTTTCTGATTGAACATGATTGATCTTTTCATTCTAGCACTAGTTGCATTACTAGAGTCCTTACTCAAGCATAATGTTATAATTACATGGGCAGACGGTTTATAAAAATACCGTAAACCAATATTTGAATTGCTGTCTCTGAACTCAACTATTCTATTACGATCTGGTGGCCATCTCATCCAATTTCGTCTTCTTCGTCTCAATATATTGCGACAGGCTTTTAACATAATTTAATTATGAAAATCTAATTCTAGGGAGTGGCGGTCATCTTAACTTAAAGCCAAATCAATTATTTTAGGTCTGTCATCTCAGTTTATCGTCTATAGTCTATACATTAAGTTATGTATATTTGTAGCACCGATCTGATTGTCCAGTATTGAGAGTTATCAGATATACAATATGGGCACTACAGTTTTGAACATAGGGAGCTTTCTCTTCCATTTTCTTATGAACAATTTGGCTTGTATATATAAACAGCTTTGAAACCTAAATGTGACATTAGATTGTTTCGAGGGAGTGATCCGGATGTTGTTGTCATGCTTCCGGGGTCACATCGCACACATACAGCAGACTCGCGACAGGTGACATGACAAACACAAGCATACACCCACGCATGCACCAAAAACACCGCTTGATGACGCGGGGACGTAACACTATCATATTTGGTAACTGGCCTCTTTGACCGATGTATTTCATGAAATAAATATTTAAAAAAATACATTGGTATACCCAGGTACATTATTTTGATATTTTTTATGCTTGTTTAGTTTGTATTGTTCTGTGATGATTTTTCTCTATGATAGTATTAAGCCTTAATTGACTTCAAATATAAGGAGAAATTTGCAAAATAATTAATTAAAACATATATTTTTTTAATAGTCAGTTTCGCGGTTGGTAAGTAGTAGTATTGTTATACCGATTATAAACGTTTTACAACAAACATGTTGTAATAGCAAATAGCCAACTCTTTTTAAATGGGATAAAGCGTCATACGAGTATTATATAGTCTACTAGCAATCGGTCCCGGCTGCGCACGGGTGCAATGTAGATACCGCTAATACTACTAATGCGGTGTCAGTGTGGAGTAATTAATTATTCTATTATTATGATAGGACAATATCACAGGACATATTTAAATGCAATATTTATAAGCCCGCTCCGATCCTGTCGGCCGCTGCAACCCGCGACAGGCGTACGACTTGACGCTCGTTGGGCCCCCGCATTTTAAGCCTCTAATATCTTCTAAAATATTCATTTTATTGATATTCTGGAACGAGCGATTTAAATTTGCATTAAATGCACAACTTATCTAACATATTTAATGGGATAAGGAATAATAATGTATTGTTTCAAATAGCTTCGTAAATGACCCATTATTTTTTTGTAATATTTAAAAGATAAAAATGGTTACTGATGGTTATTTTTAGGAGATAGAAATAAACCATCGCAGACTTTTTTTGTAGATCTTTTTAAGATTACAATTCCGCAGTACATTATTTTGGTCTATCTTGTAAGGTTTAGCCAGCGTTTGCAATATAAGCGCACAAAATCATGCTTTTACAACATATCTTGGAAATTCTCGGATTTTCACTACTAATAAATGCATGTATTATACATATAAACCTTCCTCTTGAATCACTCTCTCTCTATTGGTGAAAGCCGCATTAAAATCCGTAGCTTAATTTAAAAGATCTAAGCGTACAACACAAAAAGCGACTTTATTTTAGCGAGTATACTATGTAAAGATACCCATCAGAGGGCCTAGTGTTAATATCTTGAGTATTAGAAAATTGCGTCTTTTGTTTGTATACAATAACAGAAATAAACCCTATCAATAATTTTCTGTTTACAAACAAATTTCATAACGTTATCGACATACAAAAAAACTTTTAAATAATCTCATCGATAAGGCATTGTTGATCGTGGAGGTGAAAAGTAACAATGAGGAAAAGTCACACATTATGTCAGGCGGCGCAGCAATATCTTGAAATACGAGTACATCCGTTCTTAAAAAGTACAAATTATATTAGTGCAATAATAGGTTTAATTTTTATAAAAGTCCGTTACCATAGAACATTTTCGTGGGTAGCGCGGCGACAAACAAAGCTGTATGTGCAATATGTTATGAAGGACATTTCTCTGTCTGGAGCGAGGGATATGAGATTGTATTTATGTTTGGAACTAGCCTCAAACGCTGTTATGACCCAATAGCCAGTACTTTGGATTTGTACCACAGCTTTTTGATTCTGAAATTAATTTCGTGCTTCTGTTTATTGCAGAAAAACCATAAGTCAGCACCTTGGCTGGTCAGCTGCCGTTTTGCGCCTTGCCGCCAACGGCTACATCGCACCAGGTAAGTTAATAATCATTTTCTTTGACAGACACTTACAATGCAATAGTTTCTAAAATTATAATATAATTTCAGTGATGTCGGTGTTCTTTGTAATATTAGGTCTTTGAAGTTAGAGATTTGTATGAAAAAAAAAAGATTTATTTTAGCTAATCTAATTACCTACTGGCTCAAATGATCTATACAATTTTGCCATTTTCGATGCCAGTTTGTTTATTCCTTTACTGTAGAAGCCTGCTGGACGCGCAAGCGATTTACTACTGTGTCTAGGGTTTTAAACATTTTCCCACTTAAAAATTGCTTAAATTTGGAAAAAAGTAGAAATCTGTTGAGGGCAAGATCCGGTGAGTACGATGGGTGACGAAGAGCTTGCAGCTGTAACTTTAGTGTGGGCTATTGTGTTGTCGTGGAGAAACAAATGGGAAGAGCGATTTGGTCAATCGCTCTTCCTAATTATTTCTCTCGTGGTTGTTGAATTGCGAGTTTCGCCATCATTGTTTGCAGTGACGGCAGATGTCTAATACCAATACTTGGTATTAGACATCTGCCGTCACTGTTGTGCTTTTCGGTAAGAAGCTGTGATGTACGAGTCCGGCACTGGTCCACCAGTCACCATCAGCTTCCTAAGGGAAATATTTTTTAGCGCATTGAGTAGGTGCTGTACCCGGGTCCACCCACTAAGACCAACGCTTTTGGTTGTCGTAAAGGATCTACTTTTTATCGCAGATAATAATTTGATTCAGAATTCACTAGTGCTATGCTTGCTTCGACGCGCTAATACTCGCTTAGTTACCAACTTATCTAGCTTTTATATCTTTCCAATTCGACGCAAGTGCTTCAACGTTGTTTTGACGCTAACTTCAAAGCCCGCAGCAAGCTCAGCCATAGATTGAGTTGAATTCACTTCCACTATTACCGCCTTCGATTCGTCGTTGTCGACAATGGTTACCGGCCGACCGCGAGCCTTGTTCTTTAACTCAAAATTTGCAGATCTAAAACGATTTAACCAATAATAGACCGTGTTGCTTGGGCAGCGCTATTTAAACTTAGAACTCATATTCAGTTTAACCATGGCGCCAAAAATTACCACAAGTTTCCAAAAACAAAACACTATCTAAAATAAATGACCGAATTTCAAATTATAATAGCATGGCTTTCGAATAAAACATATTTGAAATTCCGAATCGTGCACGAATAGAGAATTAAATCTGATAATGCTGGTTTCTATCCTCTAAAAATCTTGTACTTCATAGATAAAAACCATGGGTTTACATTGGTTAAACAGTACCATTTTTAGGTCTCTCATTGTACGAGCATTGACAGACATTTTACACGCCAAAAGAGAAATGTTATAGGTTTGTATGAAAATGTGTATGTATTTTTTATTCAACTATAATTTCGAAATGCCTAAACAGATTTAGAAGGAGAACCTCTCCTTCTAAATCTGTTTAGGCATTTCGAAATTATAGTTAGATTACCCAGTTTCTCAGGGGCGCCTTTTCGACTTAACGTCACTTACACTTACAGGTACTTGTCTTTACAGTCTCAGGAAACTGAGGCTGTTTAGGACTTTTCTTTTAAAAATACATTTAGAAGCCAAATTAAAACCTACTTTCTATATTTTTAAACCTATATTTACAAGAATTGGTGAAGCAAAGTGAAAAGCAAGGTGAAAACCAATAAACATTTTTTTTGTGATTACAAACTTAACTTATAGTTTACGAAAATTGATCGTGGCTACATGATATATGTATTTTTTATGATCTATATATGTGAGATTATTCACTATATGTATGCAGAGAGGTAAGTTTGTGTCTTCTGAAGAACAAACGGTGAAATAATCTTCAAGAATGATTCCCGAGACAGAAAATCTACCGAGTCTTCTAGTCTGACTCTAACTTGTCTGCTTTTAAATAAATTCTATAGGCACTATAGATTTTATTTACGGTGTACGGTGATACTTTAATTTGTTTGTTTCCATGACATTTAGCTTTTTTAATCTTTAAAATTATAATTAAACCTAAAACCTTTTTCTGTTTTTAATTTCGGTTCGACGGTTAAGTCGACGGATCAGACACTACGTTACGGCGCAGCGTAGAGGCTAATGGCTAAGTGGTAACTGAGTAGGTTAACACATTGCAAAATTAAGCAATCTTAGCCAGGTCATCTATGGATGGGTGACTATTCTTAACATGTTGGGGCCCCTCCGTGCCTCGGAGAGCACGTTAAGCCATCGTTGGTCCCTGTTGCTATACAAACATCTGTGGCAATCGTTACGGGTAGTTGAAGCCCTAAAAAGTCCGACAACAGTCTTTCTACAGAACTTCGATTCGTTTCGTAGTAAACTTAAAGCCGACTCGAGGCTCATGGGAAGAAGTAGAGGATTCGGCACTAGGTTACAGTCTATGTCGTATACCATATGTCTATAAATATGTCGTATATTGACCATTAGAAAAAACCTTCAAAATTTATGCGATTAGATTGCTAAACTAGATATGTAAATATGTATATCTATTTATTAAAAAAATTAATTATTATTTATTTATTAAAAAAGCACTTCCGTATAACAAAATGCTTAAAGATTTTTTCGTCATTTTTAGGTGGACATGCGTAATGAATTGTTTTTATGCAGTAGTATAAATTAAACCAAACATAGAATTTACATTACCTTGCTGCCAGAAGTCATCCGGCACGGCTATATTGAAATTCTGACTAGCTGCCGTGTACTCAAATGAATCTTAATTATTTATTTAGTAAACGTTAATATTCAATGGTTTCCGTATACGTAATGTTTTAGCTAAGAATTATTTTGCTGGCGTTATTATCTAATTGAATAGATTTAAGGTAGAAAAATAACATAATCACATATGTATACGTAACTAGATTTCTTTGTACACATCTTTAATAATGTTTCGCGTGTAACTTAGCAAAGTTATGTTTAGAACAATTAAAAAATTTATTTAGAAAAAATGCATAAAACTAAAGCTTTTAACCAATATACATGGAAGCTCCTTGTAGCCCTTTTCGTATAATTTTCAAACTTAAGGCATTGGATATAATGTTTCCTAGTCACGGTAGAGGTAATCAGTAATAGTTATGTTGGTAAATAATGTAGGAAAGAAATTGAACATTTATTAATGAATTGTGTTTCTAGATACCTACATAAATATCTTATTTTCCTTGTCGGTTGCTTGAGGTCTTGTTAGTGTCAACATGTTCTTTGATCATATGAAAAAAACAGAGGCTGAGGTGGGTATCTATGTGCGAAATTTAAATGGGCTTTTTTTACACTAGACGATGTTGCCGAATGCATTACTCAAACAGACGTAAACCTTAACTAAACCTGGTTGCGAACATTTATTTATCTGGTAGTGAGTGTCAATTTTAGTAGGTTAAATCTTAAAAGCAACTTAATATACCTGCAAAAATTATAAAAAACGTTGTTACCTAAAAACATGATGCAACTATTTGATAAAACGAGTCATAACATATTTATTTGATGAAGGCTCTTCCGTAACTTAACTTTTCAATTTTTCTCCTCAAATACTCAAAGTTATTGTTTTAAGCTTTTCCTGAATATTTAAACATAACTTTATGATTGTTTATTATGTCAAAGGTCACTGCCATCGGGTTATGTTCCCTGCTGCGGCTTGACCCTCAGTAGCGTGACCGTAATTGCTGCCACCATTACCGAACCATTGAGCGATTAGACATGATACCAAATGTTGTCCTTTATAAAGAAACCTTTTGACGCCGATATCAAGTACTTGCACGGTTATATTTTGGATTTGTCTCCTAATAAAATATTTAATGGAATTAATAATAATAACATCACACATTTTACATAAGGCAATCTGATCCCAATGCATTTATGCTGGCTGATAAACAAATTTATATATTTCTAAATACATACATATTATAGATAAATTACACCCAAACACAGAAGAAAAAATTGTGTTCATCACACAATATTTGTCCTGGGGTGGGAATAGAACCCATGACCTCCGTCTTAGCAGTCAGGGTCACTAACCTCTAGACCAACCAAACAATTATTCCTTTTATACACCATGTGGACTGGATAGAAAAAGATTAAAGTTATTACTGTACGGTTATTGTCGGTTACACTAAAATATGCGTGTAGATTAGATACATATGCTAAACAAACAAGATGTAATGATAAAAAACGATATCATATAGATTTTATAGATAGCAATAGGTAAAAAGACAAATATATGTTATGTTAACATACTTTATTGAAAAGATGTGCCTCTTGTGCGTCACTGTTGTACAAATATGACGTGCACATCTACAGTCTGTTATATATAATATACAATAAAAAATAAATTACACTAATACATATTATAAAGGCTAAAGTTTGTGAGTTTCTTAATTCTTAGGCACAGAATGTAGGGAATTGAAATATATTTGCTACTAGAGGTAACACCGCGGGGCACAGCTAGTTAGTAGTGTAATAATTAGAAACCACTTGAGCAGATTATTTATGTTGGTATTTATCAAACGATGTGCGAATCGGTCAATTACCTAGTGTAAGTGATATTCCATTATGCAACCAATGGCCCCGCTAAACGATAGAACCAAGTGGCTTTCTTTCCAAAATAGGCCCTGATCTATGTAGGAAAAGCTTTGCTGATATGTGCAACATATCTAGACTTGCAATGTCGAGATATTGCATTGTCAATTATACTGGAGCGCTTGAGTAACTAGTTGAAGACAAGACAGTATTGTCGCACCGGCGCACGCCGTGTGGGGAGGGATTGATGTGTAATCCGTGGTCTTTTCGCGTGGGAGCTACACCTGCTCTCGTCTGTATTAAAACGACTCACGTACTATTACGATAAATTAACACGTTCATGTTTTTACTTATCGCACATTCTCAGTGCTGTCTCATTACCGCTTCGAACAATAGCTCTGCAGTGGAGTATTATTCTAAAAGGTATTAAAAGCAAAAAACTAAAGTTTGTAGTGAAAATGTGTATAATGTA